AAAACCCGCCGCCGCTGGCCAAGTGGCGAGCTACATATTACCCCTTCATGTCCTCCGTCTGGCTCTGTGTTGGACTTACCTTCGCTATTGCTGTCCTTAACATGACTGTTCAGGTAAGTCTATAATTAAAATATTGAAGAGAGTAATAGACGAATGTTAATTTTTTAGTACACTTAACAGCACCGAGACAAGACGAAGAAAAAAATGTATGAAATGTCACATACATGCCTTTCCAACAAGACATCTAGCATGTCAATTGAAATAAACAATGATAACATAAAGAAATATTTAATCAACATTTCCTCTAAATAGATTCCCGTGATACACTCTGTGAATTTGTTCGATATATACGGAAAGGGAAGTACTATATGATTGTCTCACAGACCTTGTTGTAGCGTACCTTTTGCACGTGTGAACAGGACTGGTTACAGCCGGAGCCGTTCCTGGGCGGGCTGGGGCGGACATGGTTATACCTGCTAAGGGCGGTAGTGAACCACAGCCTGCCTGTGCTGCCGACGGCTCAGTGGCAGCGTGTGTTGGTGGGCGTCTGGTGGGTCTACTGCTTCATCCTCACCACCGCCTACACCGCCAACCTCATCGCCTTCCTCACCATCCCTGTGTTTCCCGAGCGTATCCAGACACTAGAAGAGCTGGCCCAGAGTGACTACAGGTACTGCCTAGTGTGTGTGAAACAGCAAGTACCTCACTCAAACTGATTATTGTTATTAGTTAACACTGGGTATATTTTCTGTTTACAAAACCATTGCATTAATCTCAGAAATTCCTAAAAGACAGAACAGTACACAGTGTTGTAGCGAGGTTAAGAATAAGAGACCGGAAACCTGATACAGTGTGTTACCCCGCAGCCGTCCAACACGATGAGGCTTCTTCTGTTGCAGGGTGTCCATGCAGGACTACGGGACATTCGTGCCGGCAGCGCTGGTGGCGTCTGATTCTCTGGTCTACCGCACCATCGGCCAAAAACTCGACCTATCACTACTCTACAAGGACGTGGTCCAGTTGATGGCAGATGGAACGCACGCCTACATGGAACTATATTCCTATAACCGCATCGTCGCCAAGACAGTGTACAAGGTAGGTACTGCCTGGTAGAGTGGATGTATGAAATAAAGTATTTTAGCTTTATTTGTATAACAGTATTGTCGCCAAGTGAATATAGGAAGTATATACAGTACAGTACTACAAGATCTACGCTTTAGTAGATCTCGGGTACTGTCACCAGTTCAAAGTTAATATAACCAGTGTTCGTGTTGGGGAACAATAGATAAACATTTAATTATTCTTAGGTCCAGATTTAAACATTTCAGATGAGTCAAACATTATTATTATTCGCAGGTGAACAACACATACATGCTGAAGGAGCAGCTGTACTCCAGTTACCTGGCCTGGCACTTCCAGAAAAACACCGCCTGGAAATATAAGTTCGACCAGAACATTAGGCGCCTGGCGGAGGCTGGACTAGTTCGTCACTGGCACAAGGTGATTAGAACTTATTATATAGATGTTGATTAAACTACTGATCACTGTGCCAGATAAGGATTAACTTTTCATATTTGTGATAATTTTAGGTGACTTGTCGGAGAGTCACGTGCTGAACACCTCTAATACTGAACCAATGGCTAGTAGTTACTCCTGTATAATGCTGTCAGTTTCAACCACTACAGGCGTGACTCATGACTAACAGAGCCTGATATATTATTCTAAGATTTCACGATCATCTTGTTTACATCGGAGAGGTTTAATGGTTCATAAAGTGTATCGTCTCTTCTGTATACTTACTGGCTGCTTACACTCACCTACCTCCCTCAGGAGACGACGGAGGACTTCCTTGGTCAGGACTACGAGCGTCGGGAGCATCTGGCTGCCAAGGAACAGCTCGACAACAAGCAGCCATTGAGCCTCCAACACCTACAGGGAGTCTTCTTCATCCTCCTCCTCAGCTGGGCGGCCAGTGTTGTTGTCTTCATCATAGAGCTGGTGCTGCTGTAAGTGTTGCAGTGATCATCCTGAAGTTGCCGACGCAGTGTTTCTAAGTTCATCATATAGTTACTGCTTCACAAGTGCTTCGTCAGAGTTACTTTTCAGGAACAAAATTGTAAAATATGCAGTGGATTGTTAAGTCTCTTATAATGTAATCAATGTCTGAGCTCTCAGTGGTTACCAACAAAACCTCGCGAAATACACTAAGTGAACACCGTGTTTCAAGCTTTTCAGGTGTCAGGTTACGAACGGTCGAAGAAACGTTGGATATTTCCAGTGATTAATTTATTTTTTCGAGCTTTATCATGAGTTACAGATCATACGTATGCACTGACCAGTCATGTAATTCACTCTCGGTTCAAAGACCCTACATTACGATAAGAAAATAAACATTTGAATTCAGCCGTTATCTCAAACATGTTTACGTTTTATATTCATTACAGTTAAGGTGTTTACCATATACTACCATGATCTTGAGGGCCCCGTCTATATGATGGTATATATATATATATATATATATATATATATATATATATATATATATATATATATATATATATATATATATCTTAATACTACATATACAGGATTATACAAGGTTTTAAATATTCTATTTGGACGTTTAAAATAGCTATAGCTGTCAGGTTATACGTTTTCTGTGATTCTGGTGCACCAGTAGAGAAACGCTTATACGGATAACTCGCGTAAACAAGGATGTTTTTGACGATGAAGCATAATATGAATTAATGTGAGTCACTGGGTGTTAATATAATATTGGTGCAACTGTGACCCTTACATATGCGCATATGGTACTGAACGGCCCCGAGATATGCTAGGGACTGTCAGTTGGTTGAAAATGTTCGAAGGAGGGCCACCAGACTGGTGCCTGCACTTCGGCACCTCAACTACCCCGAGAGATTGGAGCACCTGAACTTGCCTAGCTTATACTACAGACGGGCAAGAAGCGACCTAATTGAGGTGTATAAGCATCTCAGGGGGCACTACTCAGTCGAGTGTCCTTACTTGGAGCTGGCGGACGCTCGCCCCACAAGAGGACACAGCTCAAGATTGAAGAAGCCGCAGGTCCAGAAAACTGTGAGGGCAAACTTTTTCGGAGTGAGAGTTGTGAACTCTTGGAACAATCTACCAGAAAGTGTTGTGACGGCACCGAGTGTGAGCTTGTAGTGGATACTCTCCCCTACAACTCCTGGTTGATCACTTGACGTCCGCTTACCAGCCAACCAGCGGCGCCGTCCTTTTTTTTTTTTTTTTGTCTGGTTGGGTCTCCCGTTTCGGTCCTCAAACGACTGTCATCACTGACCAAGGAGCCCATTTTGAGTCACAACTCTGGCGTAGTCTCCGACAGTTCCTCGTCACTTCCAGGCACCGCACTACTGCTTACCACCCTCAATCCAACGGCACGGTAGAGCGGTTTCATCGGCAGCTGAAGGACGCCATCAAGGCACAGTACGACCCCTACAGCTGGACGGATGCTCTACCCTTAGTGCTCCTTGGCTTCACACAAAGAGGACATGGACTGCAGTCCAGCAGATCTCACCCTAGGTAAGCCCCTTCGCCTACGCTACAAGCTCTTTCAAGACCAGACTTGACCAACACTGGAGCAGGTTCAGGTACATTCAGGAGCCGATACTGTACATGCCCAGTACGTGCCAACAGTGCGTAACAGAGACGTGACCGATCGCCCAAGCGGCTAACGAGCCGATCAGTGGTGAAGAGGATAAAAGTAAAAGTAAAAGTGAACGTGCATATATGGTACTGAACATGCACATATGGTACTGAACGTGCACATGTGGTACTAAATGTGCACATATGGTACTGAACGTGTACATATGGTACAGAACATGCACATACGGTACTGAACGTGCTCATATGGTACTGAACGTGTTCATATGGTACTGAACGTGCTCATATGGTACTGAAGGTGCACATATGGTTCTGAACGTGGACAGCTAAATTACTTTTGTTTTTTCATCTGGAAAACGGAACAAGAGCTCTGACCTTTACAAAACCTTCCAAAACTGCTTTTAAAGTTGGCCCCGCCAGCCACAACACCAACACGTTAAACACATTTCCTTGAAAACTCTGAAGAATTACGTAACAAAAATGGGAAATTTACTCCTGTACGGGCGGGGAGTAAGACAGTTATGGTAGAGCAATAAGAACAGTTATGCATCACGACTGTGTGATTCACTCAAAGTGGCGCCGTAGAAACTTATTCCCGGATGATCTGACGCGGAACCTTCCTGTGTAGATAAGAATAGTAGGAATACAGCTATTACTACTATGATTACTACAAGTTCAGCAACATACTACTACTACTATTACTACTATTGAGGTACAGTACATGATTCTCTGGTTTCAAAATAATCGCGGAAGATAAGAAGATATGATACTAACATCCACTGTGCTACCAAGAAGTAAGATATTTTATTCTTTCACTTCCCGGCAGAACCTATTAAGGAGAGGGGGGAAAAAGAGAGAAGGGAGAGAGAGGGAGGATTGTAGAGAAGGGACAGAGAGAAGGCGGGTAGAGGAGGGAGAGGGAAGAGAAGAGGGCAAGTCTCAGGAGTGAAGGTAATTTCCCTGTGGACTGTGATCCAAATGACTAATAATGGTGGTGGTGGTTGTGGTGGTGGTGCTGAAATGGTTGTTATAAAACTGTACCAAAACTGTACCAAATTCTTTATAAAGCTGTACCAAAGGAGAGCAAGCATGATACCAACATTGTACCATAATATCATAATTGTACTAAAATTATATCATCATTACATCAAAGCTTCGCCCAAATCATACCAAGGCGGTACCAGAACTGTACCAAATTGTACCTAAACACGCCAGATCGGTTTATTTATCGTGAGTCTCAAACTGTAGACATCACTCTTAAAGTTGACATGTTCCAACAAGTTTTGTAAACGTGTGACTCAGATACGAAAGCCTTTATTGTCCCGTGTTGATGATCCGAGAGATGTTAATTATTAGCCTTCAACAGCTGGTGGTGGTCACTGATCTTCGGGAAAATGGAAACATTGGTGATCGTAAAACAGTGTTGACAGCGAGTCCTAAGCCTCTTGTTTCCGCGTCATGTTGTGGAGTTCTTTAAAGGCTTTTCTTTATAACTACTAATTAGACTTGTACTTGTTTGTTAGTTCTCTTAAAAACAAAGAAAACAAATGATGTCTTCTTCATTTACTAATTTTTAAAATATAAGTTTGTTTTTCCTGCTATTTTTCTTCACAAGCTCTAATTATCCACTTGAGGTTAATAGCGCCTCTTTATTTCGTCTCTAATAAACAGTAAACACTTATTTACGGTTATTATCCTCGGTGAAACATTCTAGAAGGAAAATATGATAAAAAAAGTAGAGGAAAAAGACCAATACAAACATACTGTAAAGTGACTCAGGCATGTCAACATTGTCATGTCAATTCACGTTGTCTCGATTTTTTTCTGGTTAAATAAACTGTTTCGTTTTCATTTTCTTTCTATTTACAAAGTTATTGACACCACAGTCTTCCCTCATTCCCTGAGAGAGACAGAGGCTGAAGAATTCCTGTTCTCAATGTGAAGAATTTGCTTGGATGGGAGAGGCTGTTAGTGTCTTGTCAGAGAGAGAGAGGGGGGGGGGGGGTAAGCGAAGAGAGAGAGAGGAGGGAGGTAAAGGAAGGAGGAACGGAGGAAGAGAAGGATTTAAAGGGAGAGAAAGAGCGGCTGGGAGGGAGGTAGGGAGGGAATGGAAGGGGAGGACAGAGGAGAGAGTGGTTGAAGGAAAGAAATGGGGAGGGAAAGTGAGAGGAGGATGAGGGAGAGGAGGAAGAGGAATAAAGTAGGAATAGTAAAACAAGAATAAAACGAGAGTAAAGATGGGAAGCAGAAGAAAAGGAAGATAGATGAAGAGGGAGGAGGAAAAGGAGGTGGATTATTAGTGAAGGAGGAGGAATGGGAGGAAGAGGAGGACTAAAGGAAGAGCAATGAGGAGGAGGAGGAGGAGGTCTAAGAGAAGAGAGAGGAAGAAGAGGAGAAAGAGAAGAGAGAAGAGTAGGAGGAGTAGGAAAAGGAGGAGAACTAAAAGAAGAGAGAGAGGAGGAAGAAGAAGTACAGGTAACAGGTATAAGTGTCAAGACCATTTGGATTTGATTTTTTTTCGAGTCATCTCAAAGCGAGACAGTGAGTCGAGGTGCTTCAGTGTCGTGTTTGAGAGAGTCATTGTGAGAGTTGCCTTTGAGGTGTTCACTCATGGGCGGATGATCTCTTGATTGATAGCGAATAATTGCATGATGGATGGATGATTGAATGACAGATGGATGATTGTATAATGGATGGATGATTGTAAGACAGACCGATTGTTTGCATGACAGATACACGGACAGCATCCATGTTCATTGTCCTCTTCAGATATGAGAACAACGGGGGACAATACCGAAAAAGAAAACATTGCGAAGGAGAAAATCGACAAAAAACACAAAACAAAAGAAAGGCGACGGAGGAACAGAAAATGGATTCGCCAAAGAAAAAATCTGGAAGAGTTCTTATTTCTCAGTGACAGGGGGGTGAAGACAGTGACAAAGAAACGTAATGAGAATGAATGAGAGAGATTCCACACTTGAACAACTCACTGCGTCTGGTGAGAAGAGAAAGCTTTTCACAAGAAAGACGACCCCGTGTCTCTGTTTTAGACGTTGCTTTGGGAACTGTTATTGTGGCGACAGCTCTGAACACGGCCACTTATCTTATACACATTTTTTTTTCGAGTTTTATGTTCGGTAACAATCCCGAGCGGGGCTTAAATGATAACAACAACAACAACAATAATAATAATAATAACAATAATAATAATAATAATAATAATAATAATAATAATAATAATAATAATAATAATAATAATAATAATAATAATAATAATAATAATAATAATAATAATAATAATAATAATAATAATAATAATAATAATGATAACAACAACAACAACAATAATAATAATAATAACAATAATAATAATAATAATAATAATAATAATAATAATAATAATAATGATAATAATAATAATAATAATAATAATAATAATAATAATAATGATAATAATAATAATAATAATAATAATAATAATAATAATAATAATAATGATAATAATAATGATAATAATAATAATAATAATAATAATAATAATAATAATAATAATAATAATAATAATAATAATAATAATAATAATAATAATAATAATAATAATAATAATAATAATAATAATAATAATAATAATGCAATATAACTCTGAACAAAAATTACATAACAACTGAATCGCAAAACTGAATAGAATTATACTAAAGGAGATAACTCGGTGTATTATTCAGCTCTGATTATATTTAGATAAGGCAAGAATGTTATTATTAAGCTTATATGATAAAACTTTGTTGAATCCTATTTAACCAGGTAGATATTTAATATTTAAAGTCTAATTAAATACCTTGGTGTTACAGTTTGACG